TTCATTTCAACAGATATTCTTACTTCTGCGTTTAATCCGCTATTTCTTATGAAACTATGAATTTTATTTCTATCCCATGTATAAAAATTGTAATGGTAAATATTCTAGGATAGTCATCACATCATAATGTGGTGGTTTGAGATACTATTGAATAATACTACTAAAAATGGCAGAGGTAGTATCCAAAGATTTTGGTAAAGAAAAGCCGTTTCGAAAAAGAGACATGTCAGATTCACTGCAGCAGCAGTGTAATCAACCTCCTCCTGATATTATGCCAAAGGGAATTACAATCAATGGTACATATAATTTTGACTGCTTCTTGTTAGAAGCTTACAGAAATGATTAAATAAGAATTATATTTCTAGGCATAGGAGGAAGGTTACGCCAATTAGAATCCCTTTTCATTGCTGGTCCTGTCCAGCGGGAAGGAAGGATAGGCCACAGTTTTTCCATCGAGACACTTATCGATGTTTTACTTGTCTTATACGATGAATGCTGTAACTCTTCCTTACGACGCGAAAAGACTGTCTCCGATTTCATTGAATTTGGTAAATTGTACATGTATATTCACGCTCTATCGCGAACAATTTTAGTTATGTATCCAAATAAAATTGTTGCAGTGAAACCGGTGGCTGCTTGCATTAAAAGTTTGCAATTGGCACGGGAGGATTTTGAGATATTAAAGGTGATCGGTAGAGGAGCATTTGGTGAAGTATGTGTTGTAAGAATGCGTGGTTCGGACAAAGTGTTTGCGATGAAAATTTTGAACAAATGGGAGATGCTGAAGCGTGCGGAGACCGCGTACTTCAGGGAGGAGAGGGACGTACTGGTGTACGGTGATCGGAGATGGATTACGAATCTCCATTATGCCTTTCAAGATGACAATAATTTGGTAATTACGAGAAAGGCTAATAACGTTAGCTACCCGAAAGATATTTTATGTATCATACGAACGATTATTTCCAGTACTTGGTTATGGATTATTACTGTGGCGGAGATCTGTTAACCCTGCTAAGCAAATTCGAAGATCGCCTTCCCGAAGACATGGCACGTTTTTATATAGCTGAAATGGTTCTGGCCATTGGGTCCATACATGACTTGCGTTACGTACACCGTGATATTAAACCGGATAACGTTCTGTTAGACGCGAACGGCCACATTAGATTAGCTGACTTCGGATCCTGTTTACGATTGTTCGAGGACGGCACCGCGCAGAGTAACGTTGCCGTTGGTACACCAGATTATATATCACCGGAGATCTTACGGGCAATGGAAGATGGTCAAGGACAATACGGGCCTGAATGCGATTGGTGGTCTTTAGGCGTATGCATGTACGAGATGCTATATGGGGAAACACCTTTTTACGCGGAATCTCTAGTCGAAACTTACGGAAAGATTATGAATCATAAGAATTGCTTTGACTTCCCAGCAGATGATATATACGAAGTTTCCGAAGAAGCGAAAGATTTAATGAGAAAATTAATATGTAGTTCAGAATTTAGATTAGGTCAGAATGGAATTGACGATTTTAAGAAACACCCATGGTTTGAGGGTGTGAATTGGGATACTCTTAGGGACAGTACAGCACCTTACATTCCTGAGGTTTCCTCGCCAACGGACACGTCGAATTTCGACGTTGACGATACAGACGTTCGCAGTTCTGACGCTGTTCCGCCAGCAGCAAATTCTGCGTTCTCCGCGCTTCACTTACCATTCGTTGGCTTTACATTCACACAAGGAAGCTGCATATCGGATTTGGGCTGTTTGTCGGCCGCGACTCAAACAGACAAACGCGTACAGATACTGGAAGAAGAGAATGCACAACTGACCCAAGCACTCGAGGAATTAAAGAAGCAACTAAGCGTGAGCCATTCTTCTGCCGGATTGTCACCAGATTCTAATAACGCGACAAGGAAACTTCAGGATGAAATAAATACACTTACGAAACGTAACTGCGAATTAGAATCGCAGCTGAAATCCATGGAGGTGCCCCGTGAATTACGAAGTTTGGATAACGGCGATATGACGAAATTGCGCGAGTTAGAGAAATTGGTACGTTCCCTTCGATTAGAGAAGGAGGAAGCTGTTAAAGATAAGTTGGATGCTCAGGAGAAGCTTAAACTTCAGGACAAAGAATTGAAAGATGCGTTGACACAGCGTAAACTAGCGATGGCTGAATATACCGAAGTCACGGACAAGTTGTCTGAGCTGAGGCAACAGAAACAGAAATTATCTCGGCAAGTCAGAGATAAGGAAGAGGAACTGGAAGTTGTAATGCAGAAAGTTGATAGCTTGCGACACGATATTCGGAAAGCCGAGAAGTTGCGTAGGGAATTAGAAAATCGCGTCGAAGAGGCGATGGCTGAAACGAGTAAAGAGAGAAAATTGAGGGAACGCAGCGAGGAATATTGTAAACAGATGCAGGAAGAGACGGAGAAGATTCGACAGAGATCGATAGGAAATGATGCGGGTGCGAATCACGCGCTGGCGACGCAGGAAATTAACAGGCTAAAAGCGGAAGTGGAAAAGCTGGAGGTACAATATAATGAAAACTTGAATCAACAGCAGAGCAGGTACAACGTTGAGATTCGTAGTCTCCAAGAACAACTACACGAAGCTGAAACTAGGAGAGATTTATTGGAAAGAGAGGTGCAATTAACGAAGGAGAAGTTAGATGCGGCGAGATTAGAGAATATTACTGATAGTGAAGAGACTATAAACGAATTGAGCAGACGTCACGAGAGAGAGAAAATTATGCTAGTCGAAGAGAACAAAAAACTTATGTTAGAACTTGGCACTGTTACTGATAGTGTTAATAGAATACAAGGCGAGAGGCGTCAGTTGGAAGAAGAGTACGAGGAATTAAGAAACAAGAAGGAAGCTATTGCACAGTGGGAAGCGCAGATCACCGAAATTATTCAGTGGGTGTCTGACGAGAAGGATGCCAGAGGATACTTGCAGGCGTTGGCTACGAAGATGACGGAGGAATTAGAATTTTTGAAGCACTCCGGCGGTGTCGGCGGTGTAGGAAGCGGTTCTACGATGGCAGATAAAAACTGGCGAAATCGTAGATCGCAGAAGCTTGATAAGATGGAACTTCTGAATTTGCAAAGTTCTTTACAAAGCGAAATACAAGCTAAGCAAGCGATATCCGAAGAACTTACGAAGACGCGTTCAGATTTGATTGCTGCTCAAAAGTAAGCTTCTAAAGATAAGAATCAGTTTCATCAATGAAAATATTATCACTCGTTAATGATAAATTATTGTGTTCTTACAGGGAATTAAGAGATTTCAGGCAACGGTTCGATACCCTCACGCACGAGATTAAACGCAAAGAAATGCAAATAAAAGAGTTGCAAGCAAGGCTTGATACAGGCGATGGATGTAAGTACAGTTCATTTGATCATGTTACCAAACGGAAATTTATGAATATCTTTCGTACAAATTTTGTATCGACTATCATTGTTCAAGCCGCGACGATACATGCTATTTACGTAATTTATAAATCTTTTAATATCTCTCGAATACTGTTTAGACGATGAATTATTCTCCAAGGATAATATTCTGTATTATTTAAGTTCTGTGTTGTGACACTCTATTTATTATATATCCTAAACGTTGAATTTTCTTAAACAATAAATTTGCATGCATATAGCAGAAATTGAATAGAATAAAAAGATTGTTATGTGAGATTTGCAACGGGAATCATATATAGCATTCATACTTCTGTAAATATTTCAAATTAGCTAATTAACTTTTATTCTCTGATTAACATTTAGATAATTAAGGTTCGTAGGAAGTTGCATGAATGACATACATGATTCTTCGTACTTGCATATTTATAGACACATTCATAGCTATGTAGTACTCCACTTTTTTTATATTAGCACTAAAATTACAAGCCATTATAATCACTTAACTACGATTTAACAAACTCTTTAATTCGAATTGAGAGAAGTAGAACTCCCGAGAGGAATAGTATCGTTTATTTTATTATATTTTTTACCATTTCGATTAATGGCTTGACGTTCAATTGGTATGAATCAGTGTGTGGGTATTTTAATTATTTTTTTTTATAATGTGGACATTTAAATTTGGTATGCAACCTTGGACCGATATTCAAATGTACCATTACGATAGAGTTACAAATATAAAAGTGCAATACACATAGATATCATAATTATGTATGACTTGATGTAATTGAAACTTAATGAAACATAAGGCACTTGAATTTTAGAATACGACAAATTTTGTATAATATAACATGTCAACAATGCTACTTTTGTAATAGTTGAGAGATACCATCTCTCGTTCAGCACAATTTATATATGAAGTATAAGGTATTTACAGCTACTGTGAACAATCAAGTTACCAATAATAGAGATCGTTACTATCTGGATATCTATCCATCATAGTAATTCGGTTCTCCGGTACGGTATGCGATTCTGATTTCTAGACTACAAAGTGCCTCTGTTTATTGGCGTAACGAGCTGTGTCTGGGGCCTCTTGTTGCTCATCTTCAAACTGTATTTGTGACAGCTGTCCTATCCAGCAATACGTCAAGCAAATCTCCAAACATCGTTACCACCAAATCCCAACGCATCATCGTACATCAGCCGTCGTCACCCCTACCAGTAATGCGTGCTCCTCGCGTCACGACATGTCGTTTATTAACTAGATTCGTTCCCGTCAACACATTCATCAGTCAGAATGCCGACACCATCGTATCGCCACCCGGTAAATCAAGTGGCAACAGAAAGAAAAACGCGATTTTTGATTTGACTAGTCAGCTGGGTTGCTAATTACAGGACACAGTGCTATGTTTTTTTAATCAACGAACCACAAGTCTGGCATATAGCGGAAGATCGTTGACGTTTCGTTCTCTTGGAAGAAAGCATAGTTCTGTGTTGATTTTAATGTCAATTATCCTGAGAGTCAATTACACACGTGTTTCTTGTATGTTGAAAATAATCATCTTCCCATTAAAGATAGTCTCAGTAGTCTCTCATCGTTTTAGGTGATGGTTATCCCTTGTTAATCTTAGTAGTTGATAATCAGTCGATTTTGTAATTAAATTATTAACAGGTATGTTGTGTCTGAATGTTTTGCCTCTTAGACTCCGTTTGCGAACTGATTGACTTTGGTATATTTTTTTATTATGTGCTTGCTATTTCTGCTGGTGAACAACCATAAATCTGCATTGAATAACGATTAGTTTTAACACAATTTTTGTGTGGTGCAAATTGCAGTGGAGTGATTACATTAAAAAGATGTTATAGAATTTCCCTTTACTCAAAACTTTGTAGAAAGAACAATAATTCTTTACTTTTAATGGAGTATAAATAAAAGATGTTCTTTTTTACAATTTAACATTATTACAAAGATTTTCAACTACTTATATTAATGTAAGTTTGTCTTTTTAATATCATCTTCGTGTATTTCAGTTTTAGAACGTCCTACATCCCAGATGTCACATTTGGAACATTTTTTGAAAGAAACTGCAAGCAGTACCCGTCACGGAAGTGCGGATAGCGTAGAAGCCGACATCGAGGATAATCGAGCACCGAGTATCTCCAGCAGTAAAAGCAATTTATCCGAACTCAGTATTGTAAGTATACATCATTAGAAGTGATAATAATATTACTCAAAATTTCGTAATGCGTATTTAATCGTAGGATCCGACATCGCCATTATCTCACGAGTTACTGAACAAATCGTCAACGTCTCATGGACAAGCCAGTCTTCAACCGAAACCAAAATCGCATCAATTCTTAGTAAGAACATTCTCGGCCCCAACGAAATGTAATCACTGTACTTCGCTAATGGTGGGCTTAACGAGGCAAGGAGTAGTGTGCGAAGTTTGTGGCTTTGCGTGTCACATGCCCTGCTGTGACAAAGTTCCACCAATGTGTCCTGTACCACACGATCAAAGTACGTCTAGCTTTAAATTTGATTTAGTATTGTTCACTGTTAAATCACTCAATCGATTATCTCTGCAGCGAAACGACCACTGGGCATTGATCCTACGCGAGGAATAGGTACAGCCTACGAAGGATACGTGAAAGTGCCAAAAATGGGTGGAGTGAAGAAGGGTTGGGTTCGTCAATTTGTAGTTGTTTGCGACTTCAAATTGTTCCTTTACGATATTTCGCCCGATCGTAATGCGTTACCATCGGTCTACGTGTCTCAAGTTCTAGATATGAGAGACGAAGAATTTAGCGTTAGTTCTGTACGAGATTCGGACGTCATACATGCCACGAAGAAGGATATTCCGTGCATATTCAGGGTAATTGCACTTTCTGTTTCGATTCTAAAGTACATTTCTTCAAATATTTATATGCATTTTTCCCTTGTTCAGATAACAACGTCTCTGTTAGAACCGCCGGGCTTAAGGAATCATACCCTAATGCTCGCAGACACGGAAAGCGAGAAAACGAAATGGGTAGTTGCTTTAAGTGAACTGCATAGAATATTAAAGAAAAATAATCTTCCTAATACAACGGTGAGTCCAATGAATAGAACGTGTTATTAAAGAAATATAACGGTGTTGTTATATTGCTTTCTGCTTCACAGATTTTTAGAGCGAAAGAATTGTTAGATAATACATTGGCGCTTATTAAAAATGTGATGTCAGGAGCAATTATTGATCCAGATCGTCTAGTCATTGGCACAGAAGAGGGACTCTTCTGTTTAGATTTAGATCGTAGAGGTATGTTCTGATTCATGTGCATGGAGAGAATTATCAAAATCATGTTAATGTAATTGTGTCGTGTGTTTAGAAATTGCAAGAGTGGGAGAAGGCAAGAAAATATATTTACTGGAATATGTAACGGAAGAACAATTAATAGTAGTTTTAAGTGGAAAGCAACGTCACGTACGGCTAGTTCCAGTACGTGCATTGGACGGAGACGAGGTCGAGTGGATTAAAGTCGCTGAAACAAAAGGATGTATAACTTTAACGACGGGCGTGGTTCGTCGAAACCCGTTAACTTATTGTTTGTGTGTTGCCATAAAAAAACAGGTAAGCAATCTCTCGACTAAAATCAATAGGACTATATATTCCAGTTCTCAATTTCAATCTTTTCTAATGTAGAATGCATCTCAAGTGATTATCTACGAAATAACGCGTACGAAAACACGTCACAAACGCATACGTGAACTGATGTTATCGTGTCACGCACAAACTTTGCAAATCCTATCTGAAGGCCGGTTTTGTGTCGGATATCCTTCCGGATTTTCTATCTACAGCATTTTAGGAGACCATCACCCTATTTGTAATTAAATGTTATATGAAACACACCCGGCGAGTATATTCTGATTACTAATCTTACCTCCTTTGCGTTTTAGCATTGGTCCATTCTGATAATACGCTCCTAGCTTTTCTCACGTACAGTGCTGTAGATGCTCTGCGTTGTATCGAATTGCCGCGTGGTGAATTCTTGTTAGTCTTCCATACATTGGCAGTTTACGTGGATAGCCAAGGCCGAAAGAGTAGAGATCGCGAAATTATGTATCCGGCTATCCCAACGGCAGTCAGTAAGTATACTTCGGAACTTCAGAACGGCACGATATATTAGAAACGAGATTAAATTCGTTTGTTCTCTCCATTACAGGTTACTGCGAGGGTTATTTACTAGTTTACAGCGGAACTCACATAGATGTGTTTGACTGCGCAACCGGAGACTGGTTACAAACACTTAATGTAAAACGAGCGCGACCACTAAACACTTCAGGTTCCCTGACGTCTTGCATCATCAACGATATGCCACACGTTATTTTCCTGAGCAATTTACATCAACGTTAGTATATTAATAATATGCTTCGTTATAAATGATTAATAATCGTTATCTAATCTATGGACTGGTCTAACAGGAGAACAATTGAACTTGACACCGGTAGACGCAAGTGGTAGACAAATGACGAGACCGCGGAGAAGATTTTCACTGAGAGAAGGTAATAGGGCAGTTCGCCCCACCGACAGACGTTCAAAGATGATTTCCGCTCCAACGAATTTCAATCACGTCAGTCACATGGGCCCTGATAATGGAATACAAGTAAGTCGTTATCATTGTTATCACTGATAAGTATCAATTTTTTGTATAAATGTTTTACACTCGATTGTAGATTCAACGACTATTAGATCTGCCTACTACACTTGAAACAGCTGATCAGCAGCATAGCGGTCATCACAGTAGCTCCCATCTTCACAGCAGTCAACAAAGAGTAAGAACAAGATTCACTTGTACATACAATTTTTGAGGAGTGTTTTCACGAATAGAATTACATGTTATTTCATAGTTATATAGTCCAGCGATTCAGGCGTCGACTAAGCCAGCGCCACTGCCTCCTAGACATCCGCCTTCCGATACGCGTCGTCTTAGTTCTCATATATCTAGAAACTCGGGATATTCTCCGCATAACGGTGTGTACTAGATCATGTCGCGGCTTGTTCTCCTCCTCGTGCTCCTCGCTTCATAGGCCCTTGTTGTTAGGTTCAACATCTTCGCGCAGAGGACCAGCACCTCCACGACCAACTGCGACTCCACCCTCGTTACCTCGAACCCCCGTGGACCAAGTCGATTCGGAATCCGTGCATCTGCGATCGCACACTCCGCTGTCCCTCGGTAGCATCGCATCTTTACACGACAAGGTATTTACTTGTTTATTTCGTTCTTCATTAAACTTGATTAATCAGTCGAGAAAGAATGCAGGACATTTTTACGGTGTATTCAAATGCATATACACGTAAAATTTTCCGTCAATATAGGAACACACCTCTGGCGGAAGTCCTAGACATTCAATAGCTTCGAACAACAGTTCAAATCCATCGACGCCTCCGAGTCCCGCTCATGATCACGGCTCATCCTCATACGATTCATAAGTATTAAATTATCACTTCTTATAATATTGAAAAGTTACTGTAATCGTATGCATTATCTGAATAATAGGATTACAGTATCTGTAGTAATCTCCCGACGCGAATTTTAATTTATAACTGGAAAGTTATCGCACTCATATCTTTTTTTTTTGTGCAATACATTTCCGTAATATCGTGCATTATATTGATCTAGCAAAAAGCATAATATTCGTATTAAGCGTACGAATGAATTGGAAGGGAAAGTTGCACGGTTTATATTTTAATTAAGTTCGATGAAACTGTTCGATGAACGTATTAGGATTAATTTTAATATCGCAATAACTTTCTGGTCTTCAACAATTTATGCATAATAAGTTACAATGCTTAACAAGGCAATTTTATATAGGTAATGTAATCATAAATTATTGTAAATAATTTATATGTTTGAAAATCATTGAGACAACGATGCCATATAATACCGAAGTAGTAGGTATCGTTTATGTTTTTTAATCAGTTTTAACATGGACACTCTGCATAATTATCGTTTTAACCGCGATTAACTACCGTTAAGTTAATAAAAGAAAAATCGAAATCACAGTCAAATTATCTAGCAATAAAAGAATCTAATCTAATAATCAATCGTACCTACATCTGAATCAAGGTATGACGGAGATAGTTTCAATTAAATTATATAGAATTAATCATCGTTGACGGAAAAAAAAAACAAATTCGGAGGTGGTAAATCGATCTAATGCCTTATGACTAAATAATTTTCTATTGCAAGTCATAATGCAATGAGATGCACCGTACGTATTATTCATCGTGTGAATAGTAGAAAATAATCGTGCAATCGTATGGGAAGCTCCAGCTACAGCGGATAGTCATTAAACGAGGAGACTTGACAGTTTTAAATGACGTATAATTATTATATACGTGCTACAGGCAAAGAACTATGTTGAACATTGGTTTGTCCTTATTGCAACGAAAGCTGATTTCAACCCCCTTTAAAAACATACTACTTTCCGCGGCGATAAGCATCATCAGAAGTTCGATTCACATTTTTTAACAGATACATGTATTTAAAATTTGATTAGCAGAGATGTTAGCAACTGCAATGCATAATATTAATGACTGAGAACAAATATCAGAGTGAAATGAACAATGAATTATTACTTAATTTAAACGTTTAAATCCTGAATCTTTTTATCATAGTTTGATGACAAGCCTATAAACATTACGCGACATACTGCATCTTTATTACTTTTATATTAAAACGAATTGAAAACCGGATGAATTAAAAAAACACTGATACTAATGAATTACCCTAACATCGTAGGAAGAAATAATAGTTGGACGACTAATTAGTTACATTCGTTTCTTTTATAGATATAAGACTAGGA